ACTCAATCACATGATCAATTAAAACAAGCTCAATCCATTTTCTCTCTGTGTAACAAAATCTGGATGATAAACGTCTTCAGTCTGCTGTTTCGGCTTCACTCTGGCCTCTTTATTTCATTCCAGGCCGATGTTTATGTGATTGTATTTTATTATTCTTACATTTCCTTCAGTCTCCTGGCTGAGGATCAGCAGGGAGGAACTCGGTTTCACCCCCTGCTGAGGAGGACAAGGGGTCAGATGCAATCTGCTGGTAGAGAGCTTGTCCAGCTTTAGCTTAATTTTACTCAGGTTAGACCCAGACTGTATTTACATCCAGTTATCCAGTCATGTCTTGTAAATCAATGGAAGGATCTTTAGGAGTGTGTTGTGTTGAGTGTGTTTCTTCCCTTAGTGGTCCTCATGTCTCCCTTTGTCAGAATCCAGACTGCTCAGTTTGACTGAGCAGTTCTGTCACTCCTGATCTACATGCAGGATGGAAAAAAGTGACAGTTTCTTCTTCTGCGTGTAAACCCACATCGGGTTTATTTTTTGATCTGAAAGAATATTTTTGAGCCTTTCACATTTTATTTGCAATAAATTCCAGTTTCAGTTGATGAGGACTGAGTCATTTGAAGCCAGACCCGGCTGCTGCAGCGACCACAGAGGTTTTTTGGTGTCCGTTTGCCAGTTTTGGGTGACAGCAGATCTGCTGAACTGATGCATGAGTCATATTTTTATCATACTGTCATGGGTTTGTGTCATACAGGCACAAAAAACCGAACCGCCTAAATGCTCGCCCTCTGTCTCAGATACGATCATCACAGGACGAGCATCATGAATTCAATCTTGTGTCGCCTGCTGCCTCCTCTTTGCGCTTTAATGAATCAATGATGAGCTTTGGTTATGCAGCCATGGTGATCCAGATATAAAAGTTGTCATTTGTCACAAGCAGTTTTTCCCTCCCATCAGAAATAGTTTGAGCTGACCTGTACTGACCCATAATTACTAATATTATTAATATTAATTGAAAATAAGCTAATGATAGAAAATCAAAGTTGTAAAACCTTGTTTTACTTACTTCAAACATATTGATACGTACATTTCCAAAGTGGTTAGACACTTTTTGGCTGTTGGAAAAGTTCAAACAAACAGAAAATGGACACAAGCAGTTTGTTCCTTCATTGATTCTTTTTTTAACACAAAGAGATTGTTTTAGATATGTATAAATCAGAGACAGGTTTGTTTGAGGTTTTCAGTGCAAGACAGTAAAAATGCCACAGACTATTTATACCACAATAATCATTTTAAAAATGTGATTTCATGCTTTTTATACAAACCTGAGAAGCAGCAATCATTTGTACTGATGCTGAAATAACCAAACATATACAATTTAACCTATATGTTAAACGCTTCACTTCATTGTTATTTTATACAGTAGCTCTCCTCTTTATGGACTAAAGCAGCTCAAACAGTTGAGAGTAACTGGTTAATAAGCCAGGCTGTCTGCTCTGGTAGCAGTCAGCTGCTTCACAGTAATTCTGCTCATAGCTTTACAACTGTAGTTTAAATTGCATTACTTTAATAAGAACACATGTATTATGTTATTTTCTATAGGACAGCTGTGTGTATTTGTCCCACTGGCCCATGCAGACAGAAGAGCTTGTCTTTTTTATTAGCTAGAGAAAGTCTGGTTGGATTTGTTTTTTGGGTTTCCCCAGAAAACTTGCCTAGCCCGGCGCTCGGGGCACCGAGGCGGCCCACTGTGTTTTTGTATTAAAAGATGCTACGTAGACAGGAAATGTAAAAATATTACTGGGTAATTCTATGGAACGGGAAAACAGCGCCAGTGAAACGCTATTTAAACCCACAACTATTGAATCTTAAAAATTCTACATTGCATATCAAAAAATGCAATTAAAATCAATATAAATTATTTACACTTCTTTAATCCAAATTAAGTCAGCGGCTCCATAAGGGCCCCAAGCCTTCAGGGCCCCATAAATGCTCATATTTTAACACATATTAAAACTTCAAAATGACTACTATGACAGTAGTCATAGTTAAATTGTTTTGTTACCATTGTTACAATCTGATGCTGTGAGTTTAATCTTTGAGTTAGTTTATTCACAAAAACAAATTAGTAAACTGTAATTATATATTTCTTTTAGGTTGGCCGATTAAACTACTCCCCGTCTCCCAGATTTTACTAAATCCAACACAGAAGCTCATGCTGATGTGTTAGCAGCTGCAGGTCCTGACGACATTCCAGCAAGGCTGATCAATGAACGTGCAGATCAGCGAGCCGATGTGCTCACTAACATTTTCAATAGGGTTAGGGGGTTAGGGTTAGGGTTAGGGTTGGGGTACCCTCTGCACCAGATCATTGTCCCCTCATGTTTTAAGTCAGCTATTATTCCAGTCCCCAAGAAACCAACCATCACATGTCTTAATGACTTTCGACCAGTTACATTAACATCTATCATCATGAAGTCCTTCGAGAGAGTGGTTAAGGGTCACATGATCTCTATACTGCCGCCATCATTTGACCCATTCCAGTTTGCATACAAACCTAATTGCTCGACTGAAGATGCCATCTCCACTGCTCTTCATCTGAGCCCGGTAGATCTGGAAAAAAGAAACACCCACGTACGGATGCTATTTTTGGACATCAACTCAGCATTTAATACGATCATTCCCCAGGATCTGGTATGCAAACTGGTCTCCCTGGGCTTCAACACTACACTGGCTGCTGGACTTCCTCACTGACAGAACTCTGTCTGTCTGTGTGGGTAATAACATGTCCAATGTCATTTCTTTGAACACTGGTTCCCCCCAGGATGTGTCTTGAGCCCCCTGCTTGTTTACTCTGATGATCCATGACTGTTTTTCCAGTGGCAGGTCATCATGATGTGGTTTAACACAAACCACATCATAAAAAATGCAGATGAAACAACAATTGTGGGATTAATTCAGGACAACAATGAGGTGAACTACAGAAAAGAGGTACAACATCCAGTGGACTGGTGCAGAATAAACAACCTGCTCCTGAAAGTCGATAAGACAAAAGAGATTGCCGACTTCAGAAGGTCTCGACCGAACCACACGCCTCTCCTCATTAACGACAGAGCAGTGGAGATCGTTACCAGCACTAAGTTCCTGGGGGTTCACATTACAGACAACCTCAGCTGGACACCTCACATCACTTCACTGGTGAAAAAGGCACAGCATTCGTCTCTGCACTTTCTGAGATGAATGAGAAGGGCTTCGCTCCCACCTCCCATCCTCTCCACCTCCTACAGAGGAACCATTGAGAACCTGCTGACCAGCAATGTCTCCATCTGGTCTGGAATCTGCAAGGCCTCAGACTGAGAGTCTCTGTGAAGAGTGGTGAAGACAGCAGAGAGGATCATTGGGTCTCCACTCCCCCCCTATCCAAACCATTGCACACAGACCCAGAGCAATCCAGATCCTCTCTGACTCCACCCGTCCCCTCCATGGTCTGTTCATCCGGTTGGCATCTGGCAGGAGATTCCACAGCATCCGCTGCAGAACAGCCAGACTGAGAAATAGCTGTCTCCCACTGGCCATCAGACTGCTCAACAATCCCATCACTAAAACTGTCTAAGACTGCTTGAAAATATTAAGTTATATATATTTAGCAACACATTACTATTTGTTTATTATGTAATTAAAGGCACACGTGTATTTCTGTGTTTGCTCCGGTGGCCAGGCAATAATACTTCATTGCCAATTTTACTTATGTTTCTTTGAGCAATGACAATAAAGTAAGTCTAAGAGGGGCCCGTAAGTCAAATTCTGCTCCAGGCCTCATACATCCTTGGACCGGCCCTGCATGATGAGTTAAATCCTCTGCACTGTGCAGAGGTGTGCAACAAATGGGAGATTTGGTTTAATGATGCTAATGTGGCTCTAGTGGCTCTCCCACTTTGTGTCTGTTGAGTTTTTAACAAGATTCACAGAAACTGTTCTGGATGCTGGAGTTCATGGGACGAGTTTCTCAGATCTCTGCGCGGCCCGGCTTATAAATTCTGGCTGACTTAGTGGACAACGCTTTCGATATGGTTTGATGCATCGTGTAACCGGAAAGATAATACTACAAGTAGTATTAAAATAATATAAAAGCAGCGTGATGCAAGCTACAAGCTATAAGCTATAAGCTCCTCACCAGGCTGAACCTGCATGATGAGGTTAGCGCTGGTTTGTTAACCACTAACTTTCGGGCCAACCAGGAACACATACATGAAGTTTACAGGGAAGACAGAGCCGGGCGCTGGGCAGCGTGTTGAGCTGGAAACGCTGCATATAATTCTTTGTTCACAAAGAGAAATCATTCTCACCTCTGAATTTGCGACTACAGGTTATTCCTTCGGTTCACATAGAGCTGCACAAAAAGAGCTAACGCAGTGGGGTTTAAACTCTTAACTCGATGCCGAGTTCTGCAAAGAAACATAATTCCTCGCAGGGGGTTTATGTAAATATCCGTACATGTCAGTCTGTGTCCAGTTTGAGTGAAAGGAGGTGCTGAGGTAAACTAGAGTTCAAACAGAGGCAACGCACAGAGGCTTCAGGTGTGTGATTGGTCTCCTCTGCTGGCTTTAAATGCACAAAATTCAAACCTATCTTCTATTAACCTATATTTTAGAAATAAATCTGCTCCGCCAGTGAAACACTCAGGGGAACAGAGACGTTTGCAATCCAGCTTGATAAAACAAAATTAAAATAAAAAATTAAGCAATTCTTTTTTTTTTCTTTCAGTATTATTATTTTCCATGGCTGGCCACCAGACTTATAATACACCGGGGGTAACTAGCAGCTAACTAGCCGCTATCTAGCCGCTAACTAGCGGCTTGTGGGTGATGGCTCATAAATTGACTATATCTGGGCAAAATCAAAGTGTTTTTTTAATCTGTAACTTTGCTAAACCTCAGTACATGTAGCTCGCTCCATGATGTTTCTCCAGTTGACTTTTGCTGTAACTTTTCTGTTTTTACTGTTTGCAGGTGGTTCCACCCCAACATCACTGGAATCGAGGCAGAGCAGGTCTTGTTGACCCGGGGAGTCCACGGCAGTTTCCTAGCCCGGCCCAGCAAGAGCAATCCTGGGGATTTTACCCTGTCTGTCAGGTAACTTCAGCCTGCCCTTGTAGTGCATTCACCAGCAGCTTCACCTTTGACCTCACAGTTCTCACCAGTGAGTAAGCAAATATATAGTTTTTTAAATTTTGATATTTGACAACTCAAGTAGTAACGTTCACAGAAGGATTTAGGCCCGATTTAGGAATACCAAAGGTATGTAAAAATCTGAACCAATCAATAATTCTGGCTCGTATATGCTTTAGTTTAGATATTGTCTATTGGCAGCATCCTGAGGATGGTTAGTTTAGCAACATTATCTGTGTTTCCATTGACCATAAAACTGTGCAAATTGGAATTAGAAAAATAATTAGCTTCATGGAAACACACCATTTTAAATGCGTTACAGTTCATAAAAAGTTCCATTTCTCAATCCAACGTGTTGAAAGAATTACTGTGCTGTAAAATCAGCAACTACAGTTTCCCCAAAACACGGCATACTTAGCCTCTACCGTTGTCTCCTCTGATTGGATTATGAGCACTATGGCCACCATGGCTGATTTATGAATGTAACTTTATGTAACTGTTTACATTTGTCATAGCCATGTTTTTTAATGACACATTCTGTGAACAAACTTATTCACAAGATAATTTGATGAAATTTCTCATTTAATGAAAACACAGCAACTGAGTTTTTTCAACACTTGCCAAGTATCGACAAAATCTCACATACATTGGTAATGAAATTGCTAATGTGTGAAGACTGCTGTGTTTCTCTGCCTTCAGATGCTTTGAACCTAAAGAAATTGCAATTTCTTTATTCCAGGTTTAAAAAATAACAGGCCAATTAAGAAGCAACTAAATGGTAAAAATAACTGGACTTCAGTATCAGCCATCAGCTTCAATTATCATCACCAGTTGTAGGAAAACCCACTGAGTGTAAGTGAGACTAAAGGTCCAGATGATCCCGAAGACACGGAGTTCACATGTAAGCTGCTCAATTCCCAGAAAACAATTCCCAGATGGTCTGTCAGACACAATTTCAATAAATTCCTCCCTGTGGTCATCAGCAGAGGCCTGGTGAATAGATGACACTTAAACAGTGTCTGTGTGCGCGTGTGTTTCTTGGAACATATTGGATAACTCAGTTGGAATGTGTGATGTGGTAACTTTCTCAAAAGTGAAATATTTTCTTTTGGCCAGCAGGGTGCAGTGACTCATGTTTTGGTGTCATAATGAACGTCTTTATCACTCATGCTGTAGTTCGGCATGAGTCTTTATCAGTCATGCCGAAACTACTAGTACTAGTAGTTTCTAGTACTAGAGAACTACTAGCGTAGACTTTAATTAAGAGGCCTGGTGGCTAGCTGTGTGTGTGTGGGTGTGTGTGTAAGGTGACTCAGCTCCTCATGCTGTGGCGATAACAGAGCAGAAAATCAACCCATACAGAGGAGAAAGTCTGAAGAGTCGCTCTTCCTGGACAGCAGAAACGTTTGAGTCTCGGATGGTTTGACCGAGCGCCTGGAAGGAAGCCCAGATGTTTCTCTCTTTCTCTGTGACGGAGCTGACAGGGTCACATGGCCTGTGGGCCTGTGGGCCTGTGGAGGGAAGAACCTGAAGAACAACTAAGTAAAAGACCTCCAGTTCAGTCGGACAGGCAGGGAGGTTTTAGATGTTCAGAGTCAGGCGTTGACTTTTAGACATGCGGTTTGCAGCTTTGTGATGCTTGGTGTCCTAAATAACTGCTGGATGGTTAGCGGTGTGAGTGAATGACAGATTTAAACCGCTCTGAGGTCAAATGACCATTGTTCTGTCTCTCCTCCCTCACCGCAGAAACAAAGAAAGGAGGATAAAGCAGAATTTGTATTAAACCGAGTTATATAACAGAATGAAAACACACAATCCTCTGTGTGGAGATGGAGAGCTCAGTTTGTGAGCTGCAGCATGTCCTGTTGCTCAGTTTCAGTATTTCTCCTGTCAGCCGGTAACCGTTCCAGATGGTGAACTGAACACTAACCAGCTCCCGGATCAATCACTGACCTAGATAATTGCTCAGACGCAGATACATCCTGGTGTGCTAGCAGGGTTGTCCTCACATTTTGAATCAAAATATGACTTTACATCTCTCCAACTGTTGATGTATTGGACAAGAATAAACTTGTAATTACTTTTTATGGAGCACTGAATGGCTAAGGGGTACAAAACATCAGACTTTAGACTTTAGATCAGGGGTCGGCAACCCGGAGCCGCATGCGGCTCTTTGGCGCCGCCCTAGTGGCTCTTTGGAGCTTCTTCAAAAATGTTTGAAAAAGAGAAGAGATGGGGCTGGAAAAATTTATGTTTTGTTTTAATATGGTTTCTGTAGGAGGACAAACATGATACAATCATTCTTAATGTTTTCCAATGCTATAAAAATGTGTAGAAGAAACATTCAATTCTACAATTCTTGGACCGAATCATCTGCATTCGTTGCCAGTGTGGAAGAATTGCCTGAATGTTTGCTCTGTAGCGACAAGTTGTCAAATAATGAAAAGAGTACCGTACTTTCCGGAGCGCACCTCAATGAAAGCCGAAACTACACATTTACATAAATAAGCAATAGTCATTTTCATCAGCACACATTTAGAATGACACTTAGCAATATTATTTTGTGTCGTTGCTCAGGTCGGGTTGCTCATGGCTGCTTTGTGTTACTGTTGCACTGACTTGCTTGGCATTTGCACAGAAATTGAACTTAAACTCTTAATTTTATATACTTTACATTTTCAAAAGGCTGCCGTTTTATTACACTCCGTTTGTTGTTTTTTTGATCACACACTTAACGGTGATTATTCACAAAAAGCGATTATCGTTATGCAAACTGCATTTGGGGGCAGATTTTTTGTGTTCCAAAAGGGGGGAAAAATGACACTTTCCCTGTTGCTCTTCATAATAAAAATGATATCAATAATCTGATTTCTTTATTGTGTTTCTTTAATTTTGTAAATACATTCATATTGTAACAGAAGGTTAACATAAAGCTCCATCGTACAACAGAAGAGTTACGTGATGCGTCATTCCTTCCAGGACGCACTGCAGGGAAAATAAACATTTAATCATGAATACTAATTATGTATACACTTAGTCATTTTGATAATACGCTAATATAAACACCTAGAGCCCGTTTTGCCTTCATATATAAGGCTTTTACTTTTTTGCGGCTCCAAACAGATTTGTTTTTCGTTTTTTGGGTCCAATATGGCTCTTTCAACATGTTGGGTTGCCGACCTCTGGGTTAACCCTATTTTGGAAAAGCTTCCTTATGCCTTACAAGAACGCTGGATTACACAGGGTTCCAAATACAAGGAAGAACGTAATGTTTCCTTTCCACCCTTCATATGTAGTCAAGCGAAAACACGTAATGATCCAAGTTTTATGTTCTCTACATTAATGTTATGACTCATGTAAAGTCAGAGAAATCATTAAGGCACAAAAACATTTACAAAACGGTGTCAATGAGAAAAACTGAAGTTGCAGTCGCACCTGCAGTCATCAACAGTGTATCAGAAAAGAAACTGGAGGAACCAGCAGAGAGGTGCCCAATACACTGTAAGCCACATTCTTTGGCAAAGTGTCGTGGTTTTAAAATGAAACACTTAGATGAGAGAAAAGCTTATCTAAAAGAAAACTCCATTTGTTTTCATTGTTGCTCATCCACTAAGCACTTGGCCACAGACTGTAAAGTTTCTGTGAAGTGCAAAGAATGCAACATCATACTTCAGATATCTAGAGCTTTATCCAGAGAATTCAATGCATACAGAATGCATCTCACCCAGAAATCAAAAGTCCAACAAAATGACAAATAAAACAACCTGCAATGAGTTGAAAAGAAAAACAAAGATGCATCTTTGGGAATCACTCACTCAGCACAAAGAGATTCGACTTCTTTGTTGTAAGCAAAGCTTTTTAAAACTGTGTATTTCCCTATGCAATTAGAAGGTGTGTTTATCCCTTTGTGGGGGCTGTCTTAATGTTAATTTTATTACCTCTGAGACCTACTGAACCATTGCTTGTTGTTCTACTACGCTTTAGGCAAAAATGAGTTGCAGTTACTGTAGATGTTGAGAAGATGTTTTACTGCTTCAGAGTCAAAGAAAGCCACAGAAATTACCTTCGGTTTCTATGGTTCCAAGATAATGACCTTAGCAAAACAAATCGTGGAGTTTCGCATGACAACAGTCCTTCTCCGGCTATTGCAGTCCATGGTCTCAGACGAGCAGCTGAACTTGGAGAAGAAGAATATGGCTCCAATACAAAGCAGTTTGTCTTCCGGAACTTCTATGTGGATGATGGTCTGGCTTCAGTGGACAACGAAAGGGAAGCCATCGAACTCCTAACACAAGCTAGGAACATGTTGGCTGAGTCAAATATAAGGATTCATAAAATAGTCTCAAATGTCAGTCATGTGATGACCGCATTTCCTCCAGAAGAAAGAGCAATGGACCTCAATGATTTGGATTTGTTGACCCTCTCCCTCTTCAGCGAAGTCTTGGAGTGAGCTGGAACCTGGAAAATGACTGTTTCACATTTCGAATTGCTAAGCAACACAAACCTTTCACCCGCAGAGGAATACTTTCTGTTGTCAACAGCCTCTATGATCCCCCTGGATTTGCTGCTCCAGTTACAATCCAAGGAAATACATTGTACAGAAAGTTAACTATTGGACAACAAGATTGGGATGAGCCTTTACCAGCAGACAGAGAGGCAGAGTGGTTAAGGTGGTCTAATTCACTTACCGCTCTTGAAGATCTCCAAATCCACAGACCATTTGTTGGAGTTTCAGCATCCCAGGCTCAGAGAAGGGAACTATACATTTTCTCAGATGCTTCAACAACAATAGCAGCTGCAGCATACCTCAGGGTTATTGACACTGGTCATCAATGTCATGTTGGGTTTGTCATGGACAAATTAAGCTGGCTCCATCATCTGCCCACACTATCCCATGCTTAAAATTATGTGCAGCTGTATTGGCAGTGGAACTGTCTCAAGTGATCATAGATGAAAGTGATATT